ATATGGAACAATAAGATGTTTAATATAAGGTGGAGCTTGGTTGTTAAGAGCTTTGTATGTTAGGAGTAATATTTTAAATGACAGGGAGCCAGTGGAGAGAAGCTAAAACTGGAGAAACATGATCTCTCCTTCCAACTCTCATTAAAACTCTAGCAGCAGCATTTTGGATTAACTGAAGACTTCTTAAAGAGTTTTTTGGATGCCCAGATAATAAAGAATTACAGTAATCCAGTCTAGACGTGATAAATGCATGATTATTATAAGCTAAAATGCATATAAAATAAACCAACAAAAAGAAAACATCAAACAATAAACCCACACATGAGACAAGATGACAACTGCGGGGAGTAAGAGCTAGTCTAATTGTAACCTAATGTTGACATTATCTTTGGTTTTTATGATTTTCTACTACGATATATACAGTTACCATGAAAGGATTCAGTTTATACCGTGATATGAATTTTAGGTCATACCGCCCAGCCCTACTTGACGGTACACTATATTATCTGTGAAAATGTTAGGAGAGCAAAAGCTTCACAGACAAACTTTCTGAATGGAGTGCAGCGCATGCTGTCTTTGCAGAGTTTCAAAAATCTGGAGGTACACGACGATGTGCCGGACCTCCCTGTCAACTATAAACCTAGCTGTAGAGTGTTGATGATTAAAACCACTAAAAGTTTGGTCAGCATCAACTTGAGTTTTTCAACCCAGGACCAGTGTTGTCAACTTTCACATCACTAAGTCTGAAATTGAGTAATTTATTTATGTTTTTAATAAAACTCCATTTCTCCATTGGCAGGTCGCAGCCTTATGTAAAGGAAGTGCTGCCGCCTCGTAAATCCCTGCGCCTCCAGAATAAAGAGGCAGAAATGCTGGAGCTTCCTCCTGAACCCAGTGGACGGCTCATCGTCCGGGATGTATCTGATGCTTTACTTAAGGTGGTTATTTTGTTTCTGGAACATGCATCTGTTCTCTGCCTTTCATTCGAGTAATTTTCTTGTTTTGAAGCCTTCACTAGTCAAAAAACCTGCTGGCCCTCTACCAATGAATCCAGTGAACGTGGAAGAAGACTTCAAGCTCCCTTCAGAACTTCTTAAGCTCTGCTCCGAGGTAAGAGTTCAAGGTCTCACAAACTACTTCTAATCTGTAAATCTTGATCACTTTAATGTTTTTAAAGGGGACCTATTATGCAAAATTCACTATTTAAAGTTTTTTTTTATTCAACTTTGGGTATGTACTTCTTAAAAAAAAACAGTCCTAGGACCAAAACAATGCACCCAGGGGCATATTTACTGTAAGTAAATGTATTTTTAATATATATTAACGACAAGTTTTATACTTCCGTCATTTTGTGATGTCACAAGCCGTACAACAACCCACCAGAACCTGCGTTCAGCCCCTTACCAAGCAACCCCCGGATGAGGCTCCTCCTCCTCAGTATAAAAAGCCGTCCCGGCTGTTGTTGTGTAATGCGCAGCTCATTTCACAACAAGCCTCCAATAAGGCAATGGGTAGAGTGTTGGACCAGAGAGTGGGAGACCAGGGTTTGAGACCAGCACGGACACAATTTAATTATTTATTTATTTTCATTCGTTATGAACACATTTTCTCATGTACCTCCATTGTTTAGCTTATTAAAGCCTTGTTAAAGCCTATTTGTTCAAGTTTCTGAGGTATTTTGACCGCTGCTGCTCCCTGCTCTGGTAACAGCATGCAGAGTGAGTGCAGAGCAGAGGAGGGAGAAAAAAAAAAGAAGCTGGTACCACGACTCTGCCTCTGGGTCTCATATGGTTGTACAACGGAGCTTCTGCTATTATTAGCCATGCTAACGTAAACGCTGGCTTTGGAGGGCGGAGTTAATGTCAACAGATTTTTGGAGGGCGTTACCGACAGAGCTCATTAACATAAAAAGCTCTTCTGAATGGAAGTCAGAGCAGGCAGAACTAGAAAATGGGAAATTTTATTATCTGAGAATTATTTTATGCATTAAATTGAATGAACATGGTCTGGATAGCCCACAGACATACCATAAAAATTTGTAGGAGCCATAATTGGTCTCCTTTAATGTTTTTGTACCACCAGATGCAACATAATGTAAAAAATTTGATTTAATGATATATGGTTGAAATTAAATGTTTGTAGTTCTAAATTCGCTTATTTTTCTTTTAAAGGAAGCTACAGAAAGAAAAATGAAACTGGACCTAAATGAGTAAGATACTAGAGGTTTTATCGTTCAAGCTAAAAGTCCTGCATTCCTACAGAGTCAAGAGAATGTAATACTGAGTTTCATGTCTGGACTCAGGTACTGCTCCTCGCTGAAGAAGATGAGGTTAACGGAGGACAGCGTGGTCAAAGTGGTGAAGGATCGAGTTTTCTCCGCAGCCTTCCACCCCTGCAGCAGCAGCCTGCTGCTGGCTGCAGGAGACAAGTTGGGCAAAGTGGGACTCTGGAACTATGTGAGTTTGTGTGTTTGACCACTTGAGGGCAGACAGTGTGCTTTTAACTCAGGTTCTCCTGGATCGCCATCATGTTTTTCTTGTTTCTCTGCTCCAACACACCTGACTCAGGGATCAGTCTGTAGAAGACATTATCTTTATCTATTACTGAAAATCAGGTGTGTTTGAGCAGGGAAACCTTTAAAATGTGCAGGATAGCTCCAGGATCTGAGTTTGACACGTGGGTTTTAAAAGGTTGATAGAAAAATCAAACGTGTTAAAAGAGATCTCACACTACATGTTGACCTTAATATGTTATTTCTCTATTCTACAAAGTTGTTTTTGACATGTGAAAACATGTAAATACTTTTATACGTCTATTACATTTTTCATTTAAGCATGTTTTGTTACTGACGCAATGCGTTCTGGTGATGATGATTGTAAAAGTTGAGACTAAAACAGAATCAAGGCTAAAAAGCTGTAATGTGTGACAGTAAAGTTATTTATATTATGTTCTGCACAACATTGATTGAAACGATCAAACATGATGTTTAGTAAATGAGCTCTGGAGCTGAAGACATTTAGCAGAAAAAGTAAATGTGTGATTATTTCTTTGTAACAATGCTTCTTGGATGTAAATCTTATGGAAAGTGTTAATTTCCCTTTTTTAAATGGTGTCACATTTGTAAGGAACATGCATTTGTGGGATGAGCAGTAGAGCTGATGTATGGGTTGTTCACATGAAAAATTAGCCAAATATTCTCTGTCAAACAGCTTATTTTGCTGTTGCTACTGACTTGTTTTGAGATTCGATTCTGGTATCCCCAGGTGCTGTCAATGATAAGATTTATTTATTATTATTTATTTATTGCCACGTAGCATTGTTATAACAAAAAAATCATCTACCAAACACAAATTTACTGACTTTCTGTTCTGTTTTTTTTATTAGCTCGGATGCTAACGTGAAAGCAAAACGGCTAAAGCTGAGCTCTGTTGTCGTCCATCATTCACACCGAGTCATTTCTACATTCTCCTCTCTGTCACTGCTCTGGTTTCATTAAAAAGAGCTGAAGGTCAGATATTGTTCAACTAACCTTCAGCCTGGATAGAGCTCACACCGTATGACTCATAAGCATCATCCCAGAATGCTTTGCGGCGTAGATAACCCGACATCCATGTGACAAAATATTTTTTAATTTCTGAAAATGACACTATAGTTAAAGAGTAACTTACCCCAAAATTAACTTTTTTTAGCTGATAAACTGTCTAGAATGTGTCTAAAATGTTATATAGTACTGTTTCTGTGCTAATTTTGATGTTTTTGTTTGTATTTGTTCAAATCTGTAATATTTGGTCTAAAAACGTGTTTTTGCTGCTCATATGGGTAGAGCAGTGGTACTGCAGGCTAATTTGCAGAAGTTTCTATAATACCTTTATAAAAAAAATGAAAAATAGTTTTCATTTAATAAAGATCTATAGCTAAGCTAAGTCCTACATCTCATCAAGATAAATGAAGAACC